TATAAATAAACGGCGTTATCTTTTTCAGTAACGAGTAATCAAACGAATTACTGTTTCCCCCGTTACAACGCAGTTACCGTTACTGACAAAAAAAAATGTGGCGTTACTATAATTGAACTCACTGAAGCGGTTTTCATCTGAGTAGGCTCTCTCTCCGCCATAGGACCTGCAAAGTTTTTTTCTCTGATGTGTGTTTATGAGGCGCCGGAGTGGACAAAAGCGAAGCGAACGGCGCGAGCGCGCTCAATGCGCGAGAGAGACCGAGTGTGTCCGAGAGCGCGCTCAACAGTTGCGCAAGAGAGACCGAGGGTGTCCGAGCATTATATAGTTTGTTTATAAATAAATGACATATTTCAGCATTAGACAGCATTATCTATAGCCTACTGGTATCATCTGCAACATTAATTAATTGACATGGTTATACAAATGAAATCTAAAAAATTACCTACAGGGAACGTTCTGTTTAGGTTATAAAATAAAACCCGAAAATAACCTGCAGGGAACATTCACAGAAAACATCTTTGTTTGACCGGTTGTAAACACGTGCGGCAAACATGTCTAGAATTTGGCTTAAATAATGATGACTTTCGCTATAGGTTATAAAAATAAACCCCCAAAGTATTATATATTTTGTTTTGGTAAATTGTTCAGTATTATATTGAGAGAGCACTTGTTAAACTGTTTACTTTTGTTAGGAAGAAAATACTTAGGCTACAGTATGTCTACTAGTTGTGAAGTTGTGTAACAGTTTTATCATTTTAATATGCACAAAGAGTATGTATATATTTTTTATTATTATTTATTCATTTTTGGTAGCCTACATTTCTTAAGAAGCATAATTTATTTTTAAACTTATTTGTTGGCCAGTTGGGGTCTGTGCGATATTAAGTATAAACCATCTATAATGTTTTATTGTTCTACTATAGTAATGCTAATATTTAGAATAATATATTGAATTTAAAAGGCGTCTCTCACATTGTCCCACAGCAACATTAAAATAGAATAAATTATTATTATAAAACATTGAACACTAATCTACACTATTAAGTGTCCATTTCATTAATTTAACATATTTAATACTGGGGGCATCCAAATTATTTGACATAGGCCTATTTTTTTTTTTTTTTTTTTTTTTAAGTAACGCAGTAGTTACTTTCTCTGGTAATTAGTTACTTTTATAATGATGTAACTCAGTTACTAACTCAGTTACTATTTGTGAGAAGTAACTATAACTAGTTACTATTTGTGAGAAGTAACTAGTAACTATAACTAGTTACTTTTTTTAAGTAACATGCTTAACACTGTATATAGCCTACAGAAAAGCAGATGAGCCCAGAATATGAACGCAACGCGTTTTATTATAGGCTACGTTAAGCATTTTCCTCCCATAGAAAACCATTAAAGAAAAAGCTTTACGTGACTTTCTATAGGAGAAACGCGTTGCGTTCATATTCTGGGTTCATCTGCTTATCTGCACATGGAATGGTTTCTTAAGGTGTGTAGCCTACTGTGTACATACATTAAGCACGTAAAAGTGCCATTTAAGCGTTTTAAAAGCTTTTTTCACGTTAAGCGTTTTAGAACGTCCCGAGGAAAACGAACCTGTTAACGTTGGCCGACAGAAGTGCGATCATGGTTTTCCTGATGCTAAATCCAGCCTTGGAGAATATCCTTGTGTGCATCTTTAGATTTTCTTATCCCAGACATTTTTAAAGATTTAAATCCCTGCCGACAAGACGCTCCTCTGTCGGTCACGGATCGAAAGTGAAACTTAAATCTGTCACGGGGTGTTTGGATTTATTCACGCTGCACGCACGTTAAAAAATATTTATTAAAAGCTTCTTTCTTTGCACATTTTTATTGACAGCATTATCATAATAGGCTGTATATTAACGTATTGACAGAAAACCAGTAGTTCTATGTAGGGATGGCCCGATACCGATACTGGCATCGGGGATCGGGTCGATACTGTCCTAATATACTCGTACTCGTACTCATAAAAATTCGCCCATACCACGCACCGATACCACGTACATTTTGCAAAACGAAACTGGCCGCCGCGAGTGCTTTGTTGAGGTGAACTGAGGCATAGGAAAGTATAATGTCGGCGGTTTGGGCTCATTTCAAGATAAGGGGTGATGACAACAGCAATGCAGACTGTGAGTTATGTTCAGCTAAGGTGTCGAGAGGAGGGAAAGAAAGTACATCGTTTAACACCAGCAATCTAATTAAACATCTGAAGACGCATCATAGATCTGATGGCCGAGCGCGCGCGCGGGCGGTAATGCACTCACTCTGTGTGTGCGGGTTACGGGAGAATAAAACGATTCGCGGGACTCCCGCAAACTAGAAATATCTATGAATAAAACATAAAAACTAAAAGATTTTTATTCATCTCTTGCAGAAAAGCAACAAGAACAACTACAACAAAATAGAAACGATTTACAGGCCAGAGTTTCTATTCATAACATGGTTACAGCGTTGAGCGATGTAGCCAATCACAGACATATGTGTTGATTTCTGGAACGCAATGGCCAATCAGAAGCATTTAAGATAGACTCCCCTCACCGCTCAAATCGGACTTTTTTGTTCAGTGCTGAATTCTGTATGCTGGCAAATCCTCGAATTATAACAAACAAAGTGTGGATATTATGAAAGATTGATTGTGCAGTCAGCTTCATTGATAATAACAGAGATGTGTGAGATCGCGATGAACTGTCAGCTTTTAGGATTTATTAAGGGAGTGCACTTTGCGCGCATTCAGTCATGCCAGACCATGCACGCAGTAGCCTGCTTGCTTTTATGTTAAATTAACAGTGGTTTGTGTGTTAATACATTTATTATTTTACTAATTTTTATTTATTTTTTAGACTTGTTAAAACAAGCAGAGAAGAAAATAAAAACAGTCTTCTAACCTGTGTTCTAAAATAGTCGTCTTCTTTTCTGGGAGCCTATTACTTTTGCGGTAGAAATATCGGTATCGGTACTCGGTATCGGCAAGTACACAAATGTAAATACTCGTACTCGTATCGGTTTGAAAAAAAATGGTATCGGGCCATCCCTAGTTCTATGTGAAATCAGACATTGAGCAAACTCATATAGCCAAAATGACATAATCCTCGTTTAATAACACATCTGCGAAGATTCGACCGTGAGATTGGTAGTCGAATCAGGCTCCTCCTATCGAAGCATCGAATCTTTGACTATTCGGGGTCACCCCTAGTAAAGACCCCATGAAATCACATGGAGTTTGTGGCATTTTTGTGGTTTAGCCTGTGTTTTGGCCACCCCTGAAATGGGTCATACCATTAACATTACATGAGCTGTTGAATTAAATGCGAACCTTGCCGCTTTAAGACCTAAAGATGCATGAACATGAAGGGTTGTGGTCTGTCAAACAGTCATGTGACGGAATATTAGCAATTTATTTTTTATTTTTTTGCCAACAGCGGGAGCTCTCAAATGCTAATAAATCCAACGTCAAGACTGGAGTTCTGAACTCAACCATCACACGCTGAACACGCTGGATCGAAAGCAGCTCGACTGAACTGATGGGCATCAATGAAGACAAAAAAGCTTTTATGGAGATACTGAATGTAAATCATTGTGACTTTGTTGCAGAATTGTAAATATTTTAGCTCTGCTTTTTTATAGTTTTCTCTCAACTTGTTTTTTCACTTTATTTAACTTTCCTATTGAGTTTTGAACAAATGATTTTGTCTTTAAGTTTGACTTCACCTGCAGTTTTTATAAAAACTCTCTATTAACACTGATCGTAGGGCTCTAAGATGGATTTTATCTTTTATACTTTAATATCAAGATGGCATTTTAGACTTTATTATCTGTATTCGCACGGCAACACTAAGTTTCCTTGGCATCACTCCTCTGAAATTGCTGCTACTCTAGTGGTTGGCATCCTGTAAATAAATGTTTGTTTTCATGGGGACACTTTGTATCTTGTAAGTCTGATTTATTTACTATTATTCATAATTTATACTTGAACAGTAACCTAAATAGCCATTGAACTGAAGATACACAGTAAAAAAATAAATCGGAGTTTATTTTTATTTTGACCCATTGATTCTGACCAGTCAGAGATAACTTCTGAATTGCTACCACCTTAATTTTTATGTAAGCACGGGTATTTTTATCATGAATGTGCAATACTTCCAGTGTCAGTTTTTCTTTTTTAACGGTCCATCCGGTGCTTGGATGTTGCAAACTGGTACTAGTTATATTTATTACCGTAACATTTTAATGCAAATAGTTTTACTGTTTTCTGCACCTTGTTGATGCTGTTTTCATTTATGGCTACTACGGAGTGTCTGACATTAGGATACTGTGGTACTATCATGGTTTTTGGACCATAGTATTTTTTGAAGTAGGCCTATATTAGAGCACCATTAAAATACCATAGCACATAATTGTGCTAATAGTAGCTACTATGATATTACCAATATCTGTCTGTCTTATATGATCTGTTTGTCTGTCTGTAGGATCTGTCTGTGTCTGTCTATAGATCTATCTGTCTGTCTATCATTCTATCTAAACAATATTTTTGTCTAACAAAATAAAATAGCAATATCTTATAAAATGAAGGTACAGTGCTAGAAGATCGCTGTTCTAAGGATGCGTGTATTGTATATAAATAGCAGGCTGTATTGTAGCCTACCTATTAATTCCGATATTTGATTGCCAAAATAATGTTTTTGATATTTTTGTAGTATGATACATTTGCTGTTTAAATATAATTGTTTAAAGGCAGGTTCCATTGTAGTGCTGCTATTGGTGCGTATTTTCACAAAAGCTTGGCGTTTGTTCAATCAACTGAATCTTTTTCTAGGGTAGCAAATTCGCTTCTTTTTTTTTTCCTTTCTTTTTCTTTTTTTGTAGCCAATACTCCGCACTACTAATCTGCCTACCCGTCCCTGAGAAATTTTCAGTATGACAACTAGCCCCTTCACCCCTATTCGAGCGCGCGCGCGCGTGTGTGTGTGTGTGTTGGTGCTGAAGTTGCATTGCAGGGGTGGGACTTCTGCATTCAGATCTTCATCATGCGCAGAGGAAAACCCAGACACACTTCAGATCTGATCTAAACGCGCGCGCGTCAGATGTGATCGAATCCTGCACGTGCATCTGATGCTGTATTGCGCGTTAATTGATGGATGAAAGTGTGTGTGAGCAGGAGAGGGAGAAACAGACACTGCTGAAGGTAAGAACAAACATAAGCGTTTATAATCTCGTGTTTATGAGCGCTCACATATCACGTACATATGCTGCACATGTCGCGAGTTATCCTGTAATAATATGAATGTGAATTTATACACACATATCTCATGCATTAATTTATTATTGTGCCATACGTATTTCAGACACGTGTGCTGCAGTTATGCTGAATTATTGTCATGTAGCGCTATTATTTCTGCCTGTTGGGTTCGGTTCGATGTGGAACTGGAAGTTCGGGCCCGTTCACGTGCTGATGCAGTGCGCGTGCCCGCGACTCGGGTGGTTGTCATGGTAATCTAGATGGACCCTCCTCTGATGAGGGCATTAATTTAACCCCCAAGGGCCAAATAAAACACACTGCACCCCCCGTACAACAGCTGCGAAATGAAAACACCAGTGTGTTTGTTTTGTGCTGAATGTGCTAGTCTTTTGGTGTTTACATGTCTCTTTTGAGTGTTTTTATATGTGCTGTGCAATTTTGTCTATTATGTGTTCGCATTTTGTCTGTTGTGCGTCATTTTTGTGTGTCTGAGGTGTTTTGTGCCCTGTTGGACGTCTCTAGTCCATCTGCTTTGTGTTGTGCATGTTGTATGTACATTTCCCATGCTTTGTGGATGTTTATATTTTGAGGAGTTTGAGTTGTAATTCCCAAAAAAACCTTTCTTGTGTGTGTGGTCGTGGTAAACAGTAACACTACATTATGGGGACAAAATGTCCCTCCAAAAGCTGTCAATACCCGAAACCCTTGTTCTTGTAGGGACATTTTTTGGTTCCTGTAAGGAAAACTGCTCATTAATCATACTACGTGTTTTTTGAAAATGTAAAAATGCAGAAAGTTTTTTTGTGATGGGGTTAGTGTAAGGGGAAAGAATATACATTTTGTACAGTATAAAAACCATTATGTCTATGGAAAGTCCCCACAAAACATGAAAACACAATGTGTGTGTGTGTGTGTGTGTGGTTCATCTAGCAGGCAGCTTCTCAGAGTCTCTTGTGTTTGAGTGAAAGTGTTATTATGAGTCATTCTGGAGATTAAAAGCTCGGTTGATTTATTAGCGTTTGCTTCCTTCGGTCCTGCAGAGAGTAGCTGACACTGCAGACTCGAGACTCGAGCTCTCCATCCGTCCACAGCTTCTGATCACAGCCTCTATTTCATCCACTCTGTATGCAGCGCTGGAAAACAATCATATCTGAATGATTCGTGCCACGGGGTCGTTTAAAGCATCTTGATTAGCTCTAGTGATTTAGTTTCGCTGTCACGCGGCCGCAGACGGTTGGTTGGTTTGGGCCTCCTTGAATTTCAGGCCTGTTTGGTGGAGTGGCTTTCAGAAGAAAATCAATCTGCTTTCAAGACTTTTTTTGAATCTGTTTAGATGCTTTTTCCAGAATATTTACATTGAGTTTAGGGGTTTATGAAAGATATATATCTTTAAAGGGATAATTCACCCAAAATTCTGTCATTATTGTCTATGATTTTCTTTCATAATACACAAAAGGAGACATAATTTATGCAGAATGTCCTCATTTTACATATATATACAAACATCTGTGAGTTTTAAAAATAAATTAAAGGGATAGTTCACCCCCCAAAAAAATTCTGTCATTTTACTCACCCTCAAGTTGTTCCAAACCCGTATGAATTTATATGGAAAAAATACTATGGAAGTCAATGGGGTCCATCAACTGTTTGGTTCCCGACATTCTTCAAAATATCTTCTATTGTGTTCAGGAGAAGAAAGAAATTCATACAGGTTTGGAACGACTTGAGGGTGAGTAAATGATGACAGAATCTTTATTTTTGGGTGAACTGTCCCTTTAAAGCTCTTTCTGACAAGATTTCTGACTTAATTACATTTTTCTTAAACTGTTCTCAATTAATTCATGATTGGTCAATATAAAAATAAAAGCTAATTGAGGACTTTTAATAAATATAAATAATTCTAAAATAACACATGCATGAGGGTGAGTAAATAATGACAGAATTTTCATTTTTGGCTGAACCATCCCTAAACCTAGACCTTTATGTCTGTAAGATAAAGACTTAAACATCTACGCAACCAATTCAATCTTATTTCACTAATGGCGTCTTCATAAAAGGCAATTCACAGCCTACACAACCTAAAAGAAAGAAACCAAAGCCAACTGAAGAAAGCAAGCTTGGGATTTCTGCTCCATGATTCATTGTTTACCAGGATGAAGGTTTACAGCTCAAGTGAATGTGCCATTTGGGAAATTATTTTGGGATATTGGCTTCAGCGTCCAGACAGTATCACTGTTCCAAGAGTGTGTGTGTGTCCATCTGTGCTCCTATAGTCATTACAGACTGAGCGTGGGCCGTTACACAAACACACACACACGCGCGCGCTTTATAGAGTTGCTAACATTCCTGACAGTGCGACTTCAACACGTATTCATTAGATATTCCGTTTCACACTAGACATGTAAAACCCACAATGCCCTGAATCCCAGCGCTCATAACCCTGCGGATGAGAGCATGTGAGCGCTCGCTTCTCAGATGCTTTAATTGGCCCGTTGTCATGTTCTTCTGCGGGTCCGTGCGGGAGTCTTCCTCAGCTCCCGCTGCTCCCTTCATCTCTTTACCCAGAAGTCTCGGCGTGACTCACAGCATATACGCCTCTCACTTTCTCTCTTTTTAGACCTAACTTGACTTTCTTTTCATGTCTGAGGTGTCTTTCCCAGGTTTGAAAGGTTGGATCATTGATGCTTCAGTATCCTTATAACAATTTACCTCAGGAACCTTCATTGCATTTGCTTCTGCCAAAAACGCCACAGTAACTGCAGTTTACTGTAATAAAACTGTGGTAACTTGTGATTAACTAAATTAAAACGAGAGAAAGATTCTGAAAGCTTATTATGTCACTTCCAAAACGTACCACAGTATTACTGTAGTACTAATAGTAGTTGTATATTAAATTTATAAATAATAATAAAGTAATTTGTACATGAGTATGATGACTATGTGGATATGTACCATAGTAATTTTGTGCTATTTTAATGTTATTTAGACATGGGCCATGTGGACATTTGTTTACATGCATCATGGTAAAACCATGTTTTTGGAGGCATTTACCACAGCAATACCATAGTTTATTGGATAGGTACGATGAAGCCACGTGTTTGACACATGGTACTACCATGTTTTTATTGGATATGTGAAAATGTTATAACCATAGTAAACGTATATGTACCAAAGTAATTATGTGGCATTTTAATGTTATTTAGACATGGGCCGTGTGTATACATTGTTTTTCTGGACATTATTGCTTACATGCATCATGATAATACCATGTTTTGGGGAGCATTTACCACAGTAATACCATGATTTATTGGATAGATATGATAAAGCTTTGTTTTTGTTTTTTACATGCATCATGGTACTACCATGATTTTTATTGGATATGTGCTATGTTAGTACTGGTATGGTATTTTTGGATATGTACCATAATAATGTTATTTAGACAAGGGCCTTGTTAATACCATTTTTCTGGCCTTTTCCCCCATGTACCATGTTTCTACTACGATATTTTTGTACAATGGTATTCTTTCAATGGTGTATTGTGTACTATGAATATAGTTATAAATCAAAAATACTATAGGACCATTGTCTTACCATCGGAATCCATCACTTTACCATAGTACAACCACAGTATATTATTTGTAAGGGTTATTATGGTTTGTAATAACAATAACTCTGTTAACTATGGTTACCATGGTAAATGTGTGAATGCTGTATTTATGAATGTCTTGTGTGTTTCAGGTGGCACTATGTCTGTGCAGGGTCAGGATATTTCTGAATATCATCTAAGCGGTGAGCAGTCATCATTCATACGCCTGTAGATTTCATAGTGATTTCATAGGAGTCCCTGTAAGTGAGTTTCTGATTGTGTTTTGTGTGTATGTGTGTGTGTGTGTGTCAGTGGTGCTCAACCCGCCTGGCTGGGAAGTGTTTTTGTATGTGTTTGGGTTCCTGGTTCTGTTTGCTGTGGTTATAGTGAATCTGTGGAAATTATATAAATCCGGCTCCTTCCCGACTCCCTCTCCGTTCCCAAACTTTCACTACCGCTACCTGCAGGAGAAATATGGCTCCTCCCACTCTGAGGTCAGACAGAAGGTGAGCAGGGGTCTTCAAACCGGGGTCTACAAGGGGTCTGCAGAAAAACTGAGAAAAGAAAATTACCTCATTTATTTTAAAAGTAAAAAATAACAAACATGTGTTTTATATTAAAGTTGATTATAAAATCAATATAGAAATGATGTGTATACTAATTAATTAATCTTTTTATTTAAATGGTAAATATATGTTATATTATGTAGAAAAAAAAATTAACAGTAAAAATTTTGTTATATTATATTTATATTATGATAAAAACCTGGATTATGTATATATATATATATATATATATTATATCAATATGAAACATTATATATAATAATTTATGATTTATTTATATTGTATTATATTAAAGCTGCAGTCCGTATTTTTTCCTCTTTGTCGCCATCTCTCTGTTCGAAATCTGTAACTGCAGTGATTCGCGGAAATTATTATCTTTACGTGGGTTGTAAATCGGCATGAAACAGCGCGGATGAACACAGTGCTTTGAGGCGAGTGGTGCTGTCAGTCACCATGCTGTGTGGATACTGTCATACAGAATCAGATTCACTTTTTGAAAGTTTGACCAACATAAGAATTTTCATAAGAAAATGTCTTCTGAACAAGTAAGTAAAATCCATTTTTGTTCTGACCAACTAAGGGGGGAAAAGCATTCGACATGATAAGCTTCGTTAGATTTAATCAACGCGATTTACAGCAAC